TGGGGATAAGAATTACTAATAATTACAGCAGCACACTGTTCTCCAGCAAGACTTGAATTGACAATGCTCTGAGCCCCACCTATAAAGAGGAAAATTCCTCTGCTCCTGCTAACAGCTATTAGTCAGTACAACTCAGACCTGAATAAATTAACACCAACTAGATGCAGTCAGCACTTACAGCAACAGCTTATGGGCATACCTCTGCATATGCCTGGTTAGGAACTTAAAAAGAGCTTCCTTCTCCTGGGGCTATAGTGGCTTGTCACTGTTGTATGACCATATTACTCAGTGGGTGTGGAGTTACCAAGGCAATGACCCAAAAGAATGCTGAATAGCAGTCCACAGTGTGGAACTTTTGCCTCCCTAGGTCTGCTGGTTCATCTTCACACCGCATCTCTTGGCACATCTTTTCTGCATCTAAGAGTCCACAGGGAGCTGCTTATTTTGAAAATAACAAGTACACTGTAAATGAAAAAACATAATCCATAAAATGTTTTCAAGATATTTTCTGCCGACACTGCTGCTGTGTTTATAGCCAATTTATTTCTGTTGGCCTTTTAGATTTCCTGTTACATGCAGAATTACCTTGAGAACAGGAATGTGAAGTTCAAAATACTGATTTAGGTGCAATGCAATACAAGAGTGTACATCATGTACAGCACTAAGTCCTGTATATTTATGATTCAGAAAAGAATAATGTACTTAATACAATGCACTGCTTTGCAGAATGTAGAATTAGCTACATATAATAGCATTAACTATTGGTTCTCCAACAAAAATCAGATTTGAGCAGTTCTATCTGAGTCAGACTTCTCCTTCCTACCTTTTTAGTTTTATTAGCTATCCTGAATTTCTTTTCAAGAAGAATCTTCTATGAGAAGGGAAGGAAGTTACTTTTCTTCTCTATTTCTACTACTGTCCTAAAGAGGACAGGTATATTTGAAAAGACTCATGAATGAGACAGAACTGTATTTCCTTGCCTGACTTCTGTCCCTGACTTGCTTTGAAATCTCAGTGAGGGAAAAATGAAAAAAATCTCTTTTGTCTTATGTTATCTCCATCATCCCTAAAGAAAGTGCTCTGACTATAAAGCCAGAAGAACATCTGAAGCCACTGCTAAGCAAACAGACTAATTCAGTCACTCTTAGCCATTAGAAAAAGAAGAGAATGTCTATACAACAACATAGCACTCGGAACATGCTATGGGAATGATGTGACCTAAACCCTGTTCCATTCAATATAGAATATTTGAATATTCTCTGAAATAGAAATTAGAAGCCTGGTCTCCTCATGCATAAACAGCATCTTCATAGGAGCACTTCATAAACCTCATTTCCAAAAGGTTTTAACCCCTCTGCACTCTCTTGGGAAACACAGAAAATGAAAGACTGACCTACTGTGCAAAGAAGTCTTCTGAACCACTATGCAATAGCTTCACACAAGCAGATAAGTTAAGGTAGAGGTGCCAGAACTTTCCCTGGTTGTGTTTTGTCAAAGCAAACTTCAGCCATTTAACAAGGAGGTAAGAGTTCATGAGTTAATCATGACCAGCTGAAGGTACCTCAGTCTGAAGATCGGGGTAAAACTCAATCCTACATTCAGCCTTGTCTCTTACCTTGAAGGCTCCCTACTCAATGTCAGCATCTTTTGGATTGAACTCTGAGGCACCCAGCTCACCTATAACTCAATACATACCCATACTGGGATACTGGTTTGCTCTAGGCACTTAAAGCTTTAAGTCTGGTGTTCCTACAGGATTTTCTGAAATCAGCTTTCAGGCACTTCTGGAAGGATTCCACATCGCTTAAGAGTTCTACACATTTAAATCCTATTGTATTCCTAAATTCTACACCTTAGATGTGTTCTAGGTATGAGTTGCTCAGGCTTGCCAATAAACAACAGGGCATTAGGGTGCTCAGGGTGGACAGCAATAAAATGATATTGGCCACCCTAATCTGTTTCCCTTTTTTCTACAATTCCACAAGCTGGGGGGAAGGGGTTCATTTACTATTTTCGTATCTACAAACTTCTAAAATTTGCAAAATTCATCTTGATGCTGTTAAACAAGATTAAAGCAAGACTGATAAATGCATGCAAACAGAAAGGATCCAAAATAATGCAAAAGTCAACCTAGCCCAAAGCAAACTACTAGCCTTCACACAGATTTGTATTCACACACTTAGACACCACTTTGTTAACTGTCGGACATACTTAGTGAAGTCGGTAGGATATTATGTTTAGAAGAGGCCTTAAGGTGTGGTTTTAAATCAATTTAATTAAAATTGTACAAAAAGTTGTGCTCATCCTGTGAGATGAGATCAGTGTTCCTGATTCATGAATTAGCCAAGCATCAGCTTAGCCACTGCAATTGTACATGCAGGCCTTAACCTGTGGCTAACATCAGGCACAGTGTGATTAAACCCAGGAAAATCTGGCAAGAAATGAATATGTTTATTATCTGCTTTAAAACTTATCCCCTACTAATAGTGAAATTTAACAGGTATGGTGCACAATCCAATCAATATTGACCAAGGGAAATGGAAACTTGAGTTCTTTAACATCAGTGGGTACTCAGTCTTGTAATGGTGTTTTATGCAACTTTTACAATATATGGTCATAGGAATTTCCAGACGATTATCTAGATATGACATTTGTTTTAATTTATAGGAAGAAGCTCACTAGCACAGGTAGTACTAATGAAACAAAGCAACCACAAATTTGGAGAATGTGTTGCATGTTCAGCACATAAGCAGAATCTGCCCCCAGAGATTACACTGAAATCAACAAGCCTTTAGAGACTGACATTTCCATTTGCAGTTTCCAATTAAAGCATGCATTATTTATAGCAGTAGAACCTTGGCCTTAATATAACACAACAAAGAATCTTCTGTCAACTATGCTACAGTCCCTAACCTATGCTGAGCCTGCACTTTGTGGAACTGCTGCTTTATGACAGGTCTTTCCTGACAGCAAAGGAAATTAGGAAGAGAAGGGAATACAGGGGACAGTTCCTTCAAGAGTAAGCACAGTTAACACCTTTGTAGCAGTCACACAGAAAACCTACCTCAGATTCCCCTCAGACTCACATAAACTGACATACAAAAACCCACATATATTCCCATTTGCTGGATGACACAGAAAGAAAATAAAGCACAGCAACTCAGATATTCCTTGAAAAATTGTGCTTGGGAGTTTGAAGCAGGCTTGGAAGATTTCTACTATACCTAGCAGTTGGACTAGAAACTAATTGTGTGCTGATCTAACTGCATTTAAATATTTTATATCATTAAATGATAGTTTTACATGATAGCCACATTAGTCTTCCACTATGACCAGTGTGTGGATTTTTGATAAAAATCTTTACAAAATTCCAAGATGTCTTACAAATGAAACAGAAACATGTCAAGATTATTAGTTTCTGTATCTAAATTTCCTTCCTTTTTTAGAGAGCAAAGAAATAATTCTGATAGAACATGTCATATTCATATTGAAAGATCACTTACAAGGACATACCAAAATCCCTCAATTTACTGCAGAATAACTGTACTGCCTGAGGCTGGTATAAAGAACAGATTAGAATTTGGCTCTATAAATCATACCTTATACATACAAAACCTGCTATCATCAGTCAGTCTTTTCAGTAAACTAGTTAATGCTGAATATTTCTGCCCATTTACAACAGGGTAATAAATATGCAAAAAAAAAAATAAAGTGGTTATTTTGTATTCAAGATCCCATTTCTAATTAACTTATCAAGCCTATTATACAGCCTCCTCAAGCAACAGTGGGGAAAAAAAAGAAAAAAAAAAAACAACCCAGCACATTAAAAATTCTAGTGGGCATGCAACTGCACCATGCTATGCCTGCAGCTCTGCTACTCCAAGATGTACTCTTACCTGTTCTCAAATACTAAGATTGAGCTTGGTGCTTATGTGAAAGATATAAAACCAGGGCAGAATGCTGCCAGAAATAATCTCTAGCAATTACTAGTAATTTAGTAAGTGATATATATCATCCTTCACAACTTTACTGAATAAATTCCCTAGAAAAGCAGACTGTCAAGGTGACACTAAAATGAAAGCTCAGTTCACTTACCAACTATTACGAGTCTCCTTGTGCTTTTTGCAAGATTGGGACTGTTGATCTGAGTTTTGGCTGAATTCCAGTTTGGTTAATTAAATTCCACATACCTGCATCTCCTTTGCATCCCTTTGCCACTGCTAAATGCTATTAAACAACCAACGTGTTACGTCAGTGTCCCCTGGGCCTAACATCAACATGGATCAAAACGTTTCCCCAGTGCAAAGTCAGTGAAAAGCAGCTGGAATCCTTTAGAATAAAGTACTGCTCTTGTCATAAATGAGTACTTGCCACTCAAGCAATTTCAAGTTAAAGAACCATCAGATTGCTGTGCAAACAAGTTAATGCAATTTACATTGCAGCATTTTAAAGAAAGAAATATTTCTCATTAGTAATAACGTATGTGCTCAGTTGCAAATGTCCAACTATTATGCTTCCAGATGGAGAGGGACAAAGCGTTTAAATTTTGTATGCATCTCCAACCTCTTCTGTACCAAATGTAGAGGAAGATGAGGTTTGTTCTGCTCATCAGTTTCTAAAAATGTAAGAATTTTTTTCTCTGAAAAAAGTTTCTCTTTAATTCTTTAATAAAGGTTCTACCTATAAATTTCCAGTAGCTTCTCTCCACATAACTCTCTTACTAACATTTTTCTGTAAATCAAGAAATCTACAACTTACCTGAAGGGAAAGTTTTATCCTGTTGCAGTAGTATGTTCTTTACAATTGTGTGTAAGAGAACAGTGATTCTGTCTGGTAGAAAGTTGAGATACTAGGTTCTTTATCCCCATGGGTTTTTTAAACCATCATAGGCAAATAATAAATGTGGAGTCTTGGAGTAAAACCATTTTAAAGTGAGCAATTTCTATTTGGGTAAATAAGGTTCAGATGTACTTAATCACTGAATTTTCAAGTCAAGTTTATTTGATGTCATATTTCAATAGTTTCTATTTTTACTTCAACATTGAAGAATAATAATATGATAATAGACACATTTTGTTATAAAAAGTAACCATGAAGAAATTCAGTGAATATTTTTTACCACATTGAATGCCACAGCATCAGTAGATTTTCTTGAATCATTTACTGTTTTATACAGACTGTATTAAAAATGAAAGATGTAATACACAAACCACCTGTAGGGTTCACTGTCAGCTTTGATGCTTTTCAACACATTCTGTCTTGAAACGTCAAACTCTTCATTAGTAAGTAAGCAGAACGTATGAGCAAGAGGTATCCAGAGCAAAAATCAACATATCCAACCTTTGTGCAAGATAAATCTCCACGATACTCTCAGCACACTGAAGTTACCACCTGTACCATACCACACAGAAAGTACTTTGGAAAGACCATACTGAGTTCTTTTAATTGCCACATAAGGGCCATTTCTTCTCTTCTTCCAGATAATCCTTGGCTTTCAGCACAAAAGCCTGACCATGCCAACAGCTTCTTTATTTGCTGGGATGCTCAGGTGGAAGTTTAAGCATGAAGAACCTAATGTTCCACAAGGAGTAATTTGAAGGTAAAGATGGGCTGGGAAGTGGTTAATGAGGTTCCTGAACCCAGGTAATATTTCCTAATATGTTTTCAGAGAAGTTGTTTGCCAGGGAAAGAAGAGCAGCAAAAATTACAGCCAAATACCTCACCAGTGTGAGGTCAGTGTATGTGAAGGTCCAAGCTCTTCTTCTGAATGCTGTAATAAAACAGAAATGTATCCATCATTACTACCATCAGTAGCAGTGAATGAGCACCACACAAGCACAAGCAGTCAGTCTCTAGCTGTAGTGTTCACAAATCCAAAACAGCCAAACAGTAGGTCATCTTTCTCAAGATCTCATGGCTCTGTCCAGTAGCAGAGCTAGACCAGAGCACGGCTCTCCTGTTTGATTTTGGTTACAGCTAGCTGTATTCACAAGTGAGGGGTTCTAGACCTAAAATACCTCTCCTTTTACACAAGCAAGTGACACCTTCCACCATTTTTCCCCTACCACTGGAGTAAGTTAGTGGAGTTTGCACCATGTTTTCAGCAGTATTTCTATTTCAGTGTCAGTTGTGCAGCTGTGGATATTCTTCTGGATGTATCTATTCTTTGAAAATAAAACCTCTATACAGGCAACAAAAGATCTAAACTCCTACAAAAAAAGTGTCCCAATCTACTTTTTAGTCTTAACAGGACTTATATGCACTTAGATCCTTTGAATACAATTGCACCAGCATGCAACCACATACACCAGAGATGCACATATTTGCATGTGCATATAATTCTAGCTCAACGTACCGAAAGCTGCGAACTGGTCGGAATATACCGAAAAGTTCTGAACTTGCATTTGGTATTTATTCTACCTATTCTGCACTATGACTGAGGGACATACCTCAAACTAAAGAACTTAACCATATCAAGTTAATCCTTGACAAATACTGTCCAGGATTCATTCTGTATTAAAATGTGAGGTCTGCCAATACTTACTATTGGTCAAAATTGTGCCCTGAGACAGTGGAATTATCATCTGATACTAATCAAAACCTCAGTTCTATCAGATTCAGGAAATACCAAATCTAAAATCTAAACCTTTGGGTTCTGACACTTCCTTCATGCAAGATCAACCAAGAATACAGCTGTACATAGGCTACAAGAGAACCCAGACTCAGACTTTTGGGTTAATCTCAGCATTTACCTAACATGAGACTCCAAAACTTACCAATTTATGACATAAGCTTCTCTGAATTTTGGGTTTCTCTCAAACAAATATTGAGGATCTATTTATTTTGACAGCAACTATCTGCAGACCTATCAGGTAAGATATTAAAACAATTCATCTACAGGAGGATTCAACCCACATAGTCAACAGATGTATTATCTTCTACATTTCCTCTGTAAAGTTAACTGTAGGCAGGCAGTAAGAAATCCTAATAGGTGAATTAGCCCACACATTTAAGTAATATCTCATATGAAATTAAGACATCTTGTAGGAATGCCCATCATTCTCCATTGAATATAGAATGGAATCTACAGAGAGGTCAGATTAAACAATTAAGTTGGCTAAAACTAAATTTTAGACTTAGCAATGTATACACCATACCAGTTTAAAAACTTCATGGTTGGTGATGCCAGTATTTATGGGTTTTCTGTATTTGGGGTAGTGGTGTTTGGTGGTGGTGTTATTACAAGAATGCACCAAGCAAAAGACCTGAGGCACCCTGAAGTATGCTTAACTTAATAGAAAAGCATACCTTAACACTCCTTTTCTCTCACACCTAACAAGAAATTTAACTGGTTGACCTAGCATAGAAAAATATGCATTTTCAAGCTAAGATTTATACAAAGGATTAAACATTTTCCCATAAATTATTCTTAAAGCAGCACAGAACCCTCCCTATCTCTGCTATCATCAGGATTGCACAATTTCCATGAAATCTTCTTGCAGTCTTTGACAGCAAGACTACAAAAAATGTGAACCCGTCGGATTCTGTGCCATCAGAAGCAGTCATCTGCCTCTTCCAAGTCACTAAGTAAGGCAGATATCTCAAGCAAATTTACGTCTCCTCTTCTACATAGCTCTAACCTCTTGATAAGACAAAAGCGTTAAAGACTAATTGTTGTGAACAGCCCAGTTGCAAACATGTACATATATATACACATGTCAATACATGCAGAGATACATTCTTTTGTAACTGAGTATCAGTAAGCAATTTATATTTATTCATGAACTACATCAAAATACAGTAAAGATTTAGAGACCACACTGCTCTGTGTATTTCACCACTGCAGTTATGCCATCCTTAGTCTTGCTTACATTCAGACCCTTTATACCTTGCTGTCGAATACAGCACACTGAATCAGCCAACGGGTTCTGTGTTAGTGTAAAGAATATGCTTGGGGGCTAGGTTGGGTTTGTTTAGGTTTTTTCTTTCTTTCTTTTTTATTTAGTATTCCTACACTTCATTGTATTTTTGATACAATTTCTGAAACAGAGAGTGCTACATTCTATTGTGCTTAAAAATCTTAGGACTATTACAGACCCAAAATAAATTACTTAAGAAAAAACAAAACCAAAACAACCCTAACTGTATTTACCCAATTTGGGCAAATTGTTTCACAAGTGGCAATTTCAAACATCCAAACTATTTAGGTCTGGAACACTGCGCAGAAATGAACTAAATATTTTTTAAGTATAGATTTCACATACAATGAAAGAGTACTTTCAGATGGTGTTATCATTTACTCTTACAGACACTGGTTAAAACATTCACTTCCTGATCCCATAGACTCTCATTATATAATGTTTTAAATTTATATAATGTTTTAAATTTATTAAAGAAGAATTCTATTAATTTCAAATGGAACCAGTTTTACAGCAAAAGTTAAGTATGCAAACATTTATAATATGATGGCTAACATGCATATAACAGGGCAAAGTAGGTTGGTGGAAGGAGGCATATTGACAATTTGAAAGAAACAACATCATTGGTTCCTGTAAGTAGGGCTTATTACAAGTAAGTGAAAAAGTATATGCTTTTAAAGTAACACTGCAAAAAGAGATGAAATATCACAGCAGGTATTACAGAATGATTTGTCTCAAAAAAAGGATGCTTAGTAGTACAGGACTTAATGACAGCTCCCTGCCATGCTTAGTTGTATCCAATAACTAAACAAATCATTGCAACAAGGCAGTAAGTGACCATTTCATTATAGGAATTTCCTTTGGTTTTTGTTACAACATTTGGATAATGTTTATAATTCTGCATTTTTACACAGCTGCCGCAAAAACTAGGAAAAAGCGTTTTTTTCCTGTTATTCCATTACCAGATACTGAACACCTCTTGGTGAAGAAGGAACTTACTTAAAGCTCAAGGTATTTTATCACTTTTGATAGATGCATTTCCAGTTTTTAATTCTGGCATCAAAAGGCTCTCCAAAAGGAGCACTGGCTTCGTAATCAGAATTACCTTTATTATAAGAGCTAAAGAACTAGAGTAAACTAACCTTTTTTTTTTTTTTTTTTTTTTTTTTGTAACACAAGTAACAAACCAAAACTAATCAAGCTGTCTTTCCACCAACCACTCAAGAAGTGACTCATGGACATTAGCTTATCTTAGTTTAAACCTTTTAGCTTTAAAACAAAAAAAATAAACAAAGCAAAGCGTACATTATTTAGGGTAAAGAGTTTAGACACACACAAATTTAACATTTAAAGGCTGCTAAGCACATACTTTCAACATGTACTTTGGTTTTACTAAGACCAGCTCATGCTCCCACTTATCACATGACACACTCTGCTACCACTGCAAAATGAGATGTGCTAGCACTATCAAAAATGTGATCATTTCCTCAATCTGTGGGAGGGTGGAATCTAAACACTACAAACAAAGCTGCAGACAAAATCAGAGTGAAAAAGCAATGTGGTGCACCTAAAACACCAAATAAGACAAAGTTAGTGAATGAACACATTTTTGTTTTTTTTACATAAGTCATTACCACTTGTCCGAGTACCCTTTCACACACATGCACAGATAATGTTGCCTTCTACTGGATATTTTTGTATTTACCCTGTTAGTGTTCCATACATCTTGCAGCACAGTCTATGTGGTAGTTAAATACAGAAAGAGCTGTAAATAGGGGACAGAAAGCAATTCCCTTAAACAAAAAAGCCTTCATAGAGCCAAGGTCCCAACACGAATATATGTAAATGTAAATGCTTGACTTCGGTAGGAGTGCCTACCTTAAAGTGTGGGGGTTCGTTGTTGTTTTTTCAAAACCAACAAATGTACAGAATTTGTCTGACAGAGGGACTGTTTACAGTTACCAACTATATGAACGAAGTCAACATTCACATGGTGTCTCACTAGCACGTGTTTTCAAGTGCCACTATAGAGGCACAAGAGCAGACCTCACATTTGAAAGGCTTCTTGCCTACCAGGAAATGGAAAGCAAAATATGAAGGATGCCGTATCTTCCAGGGGAACACAAAGTGTGTGTGGGAAATTCAGAAAGGTATCACCAGATTAGCATTTATAGCACCTATATGAGTGCTATATGCCACAGCTCATCTTTTATATGATCCTGTTGCTAATGAAGCATGATCTTAGATAATGGTCTGGGCAGTAAAAGGTTGTAGTCTGTTTTACCAGTAGCAGACCTACCTCATCTAAATTTGGCTTCAACCATAAGTCTGATCAAGAAAGACTGGCCAGAACCATTTCAAAATTTAGTTTTGATCTTTTTTTCTGAATTAAAGTTCAGAGGGACAACTTTCGGTGTACTCTATGTCACCAATTGAAAACAAACAAATCCCCCACAAAGGGGAAATGTAGCAGAACAGGAAATTTTCAAGAAGTGATAGGAAATTACATTAAGGTAAAGGCATTTTAACTTAATGAAGAAAACACATGAAGAATTTTCTCTAAGGATAGCAAGGACAATATTTAGGTCACAATGAAAAAGGAAAACAATGACTTTCAATAATAAAAACATTGAGATGCATATTCTTAAAGAACTAGCTTCCCCTTTCATTTACATTCCCACTGACAAATTTTAATTTACAATATTTAACTTCATATTTGTATGAAAATTCTGAAAAATTAGTCTTACAGTGGAAAACCTGAAATGAACCTAACCACAGACTAAAAAAATGAAATAGAATCACAGAAAGGTCAGGGTTGAATGGAGGTCATTCAGTCCAACCCCCAAATAGGCAAACTTATTTTCATTTTTATAGCCAATGAAAACATTTGAGTAAAAAAAAAATAGTGAGAAATGAACAAATTTTAAGAATCCTTGGTGTTAAGTCCTAACTCCAACCCTGGTATAGTAACAATTCTCCTCAAGACATTTCACACCAACATTATTACAAGTAAGTCTACTGTGCCAGTTTTATTACTGTTATCTTTCAAGAATTACTGCAGGGGATATCACATTGCAAGACTACTGCATAGCCAGCATTCTTTATGCTTACCCCCAGTTGTCAACAGAGAAGTAAACAGGAAAGGGCTGATGCCATTTTCAGGAGCAATTGTCAATGGCTTGGTTATCTAGACAATAAATTATATTTTCATAGGTAATAAGCAGCTTCCTAAAACTAATTACATGTTTTTGCTGTGGGTCACATAAGTGGTCATCAGCATAACAAGGAATAGGAGACAGTTCTAGATTTGCAATTGTTCTTCTAGTCAGTAACTTAGTGTCTTCATTTTTTGCATAAGTTTAATTTATTTTGTCTGGGTTTGGTCACCTGTCTACTTACGCACCTAAACACCATTAACAGTGCCTACCACACTGCCTAGCCAGGCTCCCAGTGTAAGTCAGTTGGCACTTTTTTGTCCATCACTCTCCTTCTTCTGTACCTTTAGAAGCCCTGTCAGTTGCCTTCCACATAAGCTAAGAATATTTAATAGAGCAAATGTCTGTCTTTGAAGACACAGCACACTTGCCACCACAGAGATTGAGAGCCATCTGTCCCAGTAGCATGAGACGTCTATCAGCCCCCTTCACACCTATGTTTCCTGCCAGACATCTGCCTACTCTCCTCTGTCACCATGTGTGATGCCGTGTCTCCAACGCTATGGGATGCAGCACCACCCACAATGCTCAAGTGTTGGGAGCGCCGTACTCCTGCCAAACGACTGCAACAGTATTCCATTTCTTCAACTTGACAGGAAGTTAATTCTGCCAATGTGGACAAAGGCGGATATTCCCTAATTCACTGTGCTGCCAGGTCCTATAGGATAAGTTTTCCACAAGCTATTTTATTTAAATATTACCACAAGCATCGAATTGGCCCCACTGCCCTGTCCACCCACCCACTGCACATAACAAGTAGCAGTTTTCACAACGCCATTAACACAACATAGCACGTTTCCATCCTATTCATTCAGCTAAACTTATTTTCTAATCCTATAAAATGCTCAGTTCAGAAGAAAGGAGGAAGGCTTTACTTTTTAAATACCAACAAGATGGCGTGGATCCAACAGTTCCAAGCAGACAGTGCTACAAAGTACTTTCTTCAGTGTAATTCGGAATTTCTAATGTGAGTGCCTTTTCTGGCAGAACGGTAGACTTAATATAACCATGGCAATACAAAGTCTATGTAAACAAATCACTTGACTGAGGTAGAAAGAACCTCAGAGCATAAGACACAGAGAGGCTGGGCCTTTGACAGAGATTCAACATTAAATTTCAAAATAAAAAAAACTGAAGCAGGAAGCTTTCCAGAAAATGAAAGGGAATGTAGTCAAGGTGGAAAAACAACTCTGTTATACTGAAAATCTTGAAATATGCCATTACATGCAAGATGATTTTAAAAGTTTTGAGAAGACATTCCTATTTCTTCCCTAGCCATGGAGTACCAGAACAGAAAAAGACTTATGAACTGGTTAAAGCCCACATCCCTCTGAACTGGCAGAGACTTCCTTTTCAGTTAACAAGCCAGCAACATAAGCTATCTTTGTCTTTGCAGTATCTATATCTTTAGATAGGTGTCTTCTGAACACAAACCCTAAACCAGCATCAAATATATCCTTAAAGATCAATATGCCTAACTGCCATTAAAAAAATCCAAAAAACCATTTCTGTTAAAAATTTGCCTATTTTGTTAAATCAGGATCACAGTGTTTGGTTTTTGCATATTCAACATAAGAGGGAAAAATACCGCTTTTCTCTATAAATTTTTTTCATGTCACAAAAGAATCACTCCTACACAGCATTCAATATTCAACTGTACAGTACTTTTTTTTTATCTCCCTAAGCAGTTTACCTAAGTGGTAACATAAGGAAGACATATATGTAATCCACCTGTATGCATTTGCATCTGCTGTATCAGAGAGACCTTGTTTCCTACACACAGTGCTGGCAATGAAAGGCTTTGATGCCAGCATGCATTCCCATGTGTTTCTGCAGAGCTAACTGTAAGAATGCTTCCTGTCAAAAAGGAAATGAACCTTGTCACAGCTGGAAAATCATCATCTATTCTCCCTGTATAAGTGGTCTGAAGGGATTACATTTCTCAGTTACTGTGTTAATTTAGGCTTTTAATGCCTTTTATCATGAGTATTTAAGGCTATTAGTTAGGAAAGATTGATATCACTATGGAGAAGAGCACAAAGATTCCTATCAAACCTATATACAACGAAATACTTCAGTCACTAGTTTATTAATTTTCAATTATTTACTTATATTCCCCAAATGATAGTTTGCTGTGTCAAATTAATTTACTAGCAGCCAATACTGCATAACACAACATGATCATATGAGATTGTGGTATTTTTATGTTTGAATGGTCCACCTAAGTTTTCTAGAAATTATTTATCTCTGTTGTGTAATCTGCTACTCTTTCAGGCCTGCAAGTGGAATTTATTTAAAAGGGGGGGGGGGAAGCATACAAAAATTATGTATGTGCTTATACACAGAGAGGATTCCTAGGAACTAAAATTGTAAAACATTTGAAAAGACCGATGCAGATCACAGATGCGGTGTTCCAAATCCTTGATTTTCCAGATTCTTCCCCATACCATGCTTAGAATACCTCAAAACCATATAGATCTAAGCACTTAGAGTTCCTCAAATTTCAGCAACAGAGGAAGCACTGGCTATTCACAAATTCAAACACAAGTCTTTAATGCTGTAAAGTCACATCTTTAACACACAGTAATTTCAAAGGGACAAAGACAAGCACAGAAGTTTAAAATCTTTGCCTTGTGGAAGTCAAGTATAGCAGGTTTGAAAAGGTGCACCTCTATCCAGATTATTGACAAGCGCTCAGCAAAAGGACACATACCTGTAAATAATTAATTACTGAGTAAATACTATTTCCAAATACATGCATTACATTCACATGTTGGATGTAATAAACAGGATTACTCATTCTTTAAACACTTTATAATGAAAACACAGCTATTTTCACAACATTTATGAAGGCAATTAAAGTCCAGCTATTTTGAAAACAAAGCATTTTAAAAAACAAGGAAATTAGTTTACATTATACTCAAGAATTCTACTGGTAAAAGTATTTCTGCTAATTCTAAAGTAAGAGTGAATCATACAGTTGATATTTTATGCAACAGTGTTCAAACAAGAAAGATGCAAAAGGGGATTTAATCTTCAGTTGTTTGTGTGCATTAACACTTTCTTGCACAACAAAAATGAAGCTTACATTGCTCAAAGAATAAAAGCCCTTAACTTGCATGAGAGAACTTAACTACTCAGGGGAGTTGTTGAAGTGTTTGATGAAGAGAAGGTGCTAAAACAGTGACCTCAGTAGAACCAAGGGCCAATATGGAAAAATCTGGGATTTAAACAGCAGGCTTCAAGATGAAAGCCAACTCTGAAAGTCAAGCTGTGCCATTCTGTGTAACTATTTGTAATAACTTCCCCCGCTTCCCTGAACATTTCTCATCTTTAAAGTAGAAAAACCACCACAAAAAACCTCCCAAAAAGTCAAAGATCTAGAGTTTTAACTCCTACAGGATAGGCAGAACCTTTTTAGAGCTACGAAGCAGAGCCCAAAAATGCAGAGGCTATTTTCTGTAATACTCTTGTGAATCCAAGTGTAGTTCAAAGGGGTAACATACCAATTCATGGACTTGGAAAATATTTTTTGTTTTCATTTCTACTCATTTAAATGAGAATTATAACTGTATATTCAATGCATTTAAAGTCATTTCATAATGACTTCATAGAACAGTCTTTCTGAAATGCTTTGTAGAAAAGTAATGCTTTTTGGAATTTCTAGCTATTTCAATTACTCTTTAAAAAGAAAGTGTAAGCATAACTGCCTATTTCCAGCCCATTTAATAGCTTTAAATGAAAATTTCAGAATTCTGATAAAGTTACCATCGTAGGCAGCACTTGCAGTGCAAAATCCCCAGAAACAGACATGTTCTCTTTTTTTGAAGGAGAAAAGGAGGGTTGGTTAAGTCTTCTAAAGTTAAGGGACAAAAGTCCAAAGGAACCTGGAATATGGATGATTCAGCCTTTCATTCCTGACATATAGATAAGGTGCATCTATCTATACAGTGGGACATTCTAACCCATTTAGACCAAAGGGTCTTGAATTCCCTTGATCAAGTTTTAGACTCCATAAAGGTCCCACAAGCATTATAACACTTAGGATTTTAATGAAAACCATTAAGGCAATACTATCAATAAATCAGTCCTGTTAGGAATCAGCTTCATTCTTCCCAGTTAGCTTTTGAACGCTGATTATAGGAGCTCACATTCATAGATGCCACTATGATCTGCCCTTCTTTTATAGGAACTCTTGGATAGAACTCAGCAACTGAAAAGAATAGACTGCCCTCTCTCTGTGGCTTCTTGCTAACTCCTTGATCTCTAACTTAAACAGAACCACAGCCAAACATTTTCAAGAAATTCACAGTGACAGGTAGTAGTCAGCATTTTCCCATAAAGTTACAAAAAATCCCCACTATACTCCCAATCAGTAATGTGGTATGCCTCCATAAAGTTTTAGATGACAAAACTGTACTTTGTGGCTGAAATAAGGCAATAAAATTTGGTTATATTGTTTAGCATCACTAGAATTCCCTGTGAATTCAGAACTTTAACTCCCATGCTCTGTCAGCAGTATACACAAGCCACCCTTGTACATGAATGCATTAATTATACATGAATTAAAAGCATCATTAGTTTTAGTGTATCCTCAGATTTATTTTCTGATGAGAGAAAAACGTCTGTGAGAACATTATTCTGAATTGTAATATTACATTAACTTGCAACATAGAAAATAAATATTTGAAACACATTAAGTAAGACTTAGGTGACATTAATTAATATTGTCATGGGGTTTGGTTTTTTGGTTATTTTATCCTTTAAAACATACCCAGAACTAATTGCCACAGTCATAAAAATCTTAAACCTTCATACAGAAACAGAACTGCGCTTTTTATAAACTTGACATAGATTTTACTAAATAAATTTTACTGCTTAATACCAAAAAGAATGAAGACTTCCAATTCGTACATTCCAGCTATCCTTGTAGCAAAATAGGTAGAAATCATCATTTTAAACTCTCACATCGGTATGTAGCTCACACTGAGGATCTCAGGCAAAAAAGAACACTAGAAAAGCGTTTGAAAAGTAAAAATTCCCCTCGGACGTTGTTCATTTGCTGCCCCCTCCTGGCGAAAAACAAACAAAGCGCAACAAGACAGCAAGGAAAAACAGCTGGTTTTCCAAGTCCCGTTAGGAACACTTCACTGGTAACCTTGTGACGGCAGACCTTTCTCAGTTTAAAAGAATTTCTTGAAGTTTTACAGCATCAGTAGACTCTCAAATATGCTTTCCAAGTGACTGTGTTAGGCATAACGGGAGACAATGCTGGGACAAAGAGAAAATGAGGCTACTTACTTTGGCACACTGGAGCTCTGTGTGGTGGCACAGCCCGGGTGCTTGGAGTCACAGTCAGCATGGCAGTGTTGTCTGGAGGTCATTCTGCCATCAGCTGTTCACTCTGTGCTGCAGGACACACAGAGTGGCTGGAGCTTTGTGCAATTGAGCTCCCCACAACTGGAGACAGATCCTGTTCTGTCCCGGGGTCAGGGCCTTCAGCAGAAAGAATTAAGAGACAGCCACGGGCTAATTGCTGGTTCCAGGAGTTTGCACTTCAGGGGGGCTGTAAGAAAGAAACAGTGTTGACATGAAGTTTGTTTTACTGTACAAAACTAAGTCAAGCAAAGCTCAAGTCAGGACTCTTATGCTCAAGTTCTTAATCTTTGCAGTAATTACAAGCAGCATTGCAGGGAGAGGTCCAGAGACCCAGTCCAAAATGTGCCCTTTGCTTTCGAAACAGAAAGGAAGTGCGTTCATCAGATGACACGTTTAACATGTAACCTCAGAAAAAATTTGGATTGTCATACTCCACTGGTTCAAAAATAACTGTGGCAATGATACAATAATGTAATGTGCTTAACCTTATACTTCTCCAACTTAAAACAGAGGCAAGTTTTCTTAACTGACTGCTTCATTTAAAAAACAAACAAAAAAAAACCAAACAAAAGATGGATGCCTAAGTGAAAGGTACATCAGCAGCACTCTGGTCTACTCACTACCTACTAACAAAGCTGCTAGCTTACTTCAAGTAATTAGGCCCTTGACTAACCAAATCCAAATTCCACTTTCGCCTCTTTTTTTTAATTGTACCAATTTCAGCAAGCTCCTAAAACATGTGTTTATTTCTTTCCATGCAAGCAATACCAACATCAAACCAGGAAATCCAGACTCAGTATAGATAAATACTTCAGCCCTAGAAAACAGTGGGATAAAGAAGCTATTTGGGGAAAAAAGTTTGACAACTTGAATTAATTTATAATACATAACTGTAGAAGTGACTTCTCTAGTTAAACTATTGTGAAAACGTTTTCTAATAATGTATGGCCATTAACAACAACAGAGAAAAGAACACGCCCAAAACCAAATTCACATACTTAGAAGAAACCTAGAGAAACAGATGCACACAAACTTCTCTATCTAAAGATTAGGAAAGTTATCAGAATATTTTGTAATGTCAACTCATGGACAGGTGGCTACCAGATATTACTATTTTTTCATCAAAAAGAGAGATCTTTTCAGAATAATAGGGAAACATCAAATGCCTTCTCAACTTCTCCTTGGAAGAAAGGATGCACTTGAGGTCAGGCAAAGTGTTGGTGTTAACTCTTGAAACTGCAGACAAGTAGAATTTTACACTAACTAATAAAATTGGTGTTCAATAAACATGCCTCTTAAAAATGCAGCCTTGACTACAAAGGAAGCTGTTTTTTCACCTAGTTAACTTGTAGAATTCCAAGAAGTCTCACAGCACCTCTCTTGGCTCTTCCAAGAGCTTATCTCAGTGATTCCACTTTGTTGTTCCTTGTAACAAAATGTAATAGAAAACCTTTAGCAGCACCTTTTGATCAGCGCCTGGTTAATTTTTTCAAAAGCCTGGTACTATATCATAAACCAAGTAGAAGGCAGCTATTTGAACAGGGTACCTTATTTTGTTCAGGTTATCCAGGAGCAACTTTCTTATAAAAATAAGTAAGTAAATAAGTAAACAAATAAATGGGCCAGACTATCAAAAGTTCTGCAATGAAGGAACAAAATAGCAAGTTTTGCTGTAATAGAGGTGGTACCTATTGTAGGTATTGCATTTAAATTAACTTGAATCCTTCTTTCTAGTTGCTTTTGTGTTGGAGCACACAGGATTATCTTCAGGCTTCTTTCTTCTGTCCCTCTCTTTCATTTGTGGGTCTGGTTTTTTATGATGGATTTGTTTGTGATGTCCACTCATTTGATGTCTGGTTTTGAATACTTGGTCCCAAAATGAAGACAAAACTGATGTAGAAGTTCTGTGATTTTCCATACGCTCCTTCAATGCTTCTCTGGATTGCCAATTAACATATAAATTACATAAACTAATTAAAAAAGAAACACAAAATACACTATCAACCAGTATTTTATAATACCATCAGTGATGGAAAGACTTTAAAATCTCAGATATTATACTTTCAGATGAAAGACAAAGTTGTAGAGAAAATAAACCTTGCTCCTCATTTTGTATTATGTTTGTGAAACACACATAAAATAGAGCTTCTCAAAAAAAGCCATTTTTTGGGGTTGTCTTTTGTTCATTTTCTTGTGTTGTTTGTCTGTTTTTTACCCTTTAGGACAAAGTTAGATCCAAGTTAAATAGAAGTGATTTTGAGGAAAGAACTGCTCTATTTTACTTTTGCATATATTGCAAATACAATGAATAGGCAAGTGACTTAGAGAAATGTTTAACTGCCATTCACACACACCCAGGAAGTACAGATTGTCATTACTGGATGTACAATTGCATTATAAAATTGCTAAAGTTCTGCTTGGCTCAACAAAAGATAAAACCAAAAGTAGGTAAACACAAATTATAATCATAAAAATGACAGCATTTGGAAAGTCACTACTGTGTTTGACACACTTGCCACAACAATAAATATCCCTTTCCTTTCAAAAGTGACAATGCAGGAAGGAAAAGCATGATTTTAAAGTATCTCATTTGACCTGAATCCATTTGGTTTACCAGATTACTATGTATTTATCATCCAAAGGCTTTATCCAACAACACACATTTTAAGTAGTTGCCTTTTCTAAGTTTCCTCAGCAAAACTTCTAATGATCACTATATGTGTAGATAAAGAACAAACAACCATTTTACATAATACAGTCATTATATTGCAAGGAATTGACTTATGTCATGAATATCCAAATATTGTTAAAATAGCATAGAATTCTAATTACACTGTTAAGACTAATACAAACATCAATGAAATGTCAGCCATTTCCAACCTAAAATATAAGCTTAAGAAACACAGTGCTGCATATATACTTCATAAAACTAGGGGAAAAAAAATGTAATACATGATTGAGAAGATAGCCAGTGTTTGCTTCAGAGTAAGGGAAATACTTTAATCTGCAGCATTATTTGGCACAGAATCACTTAATTTGACAGTTTGTATATTACTGCTTTTGTATTAGCAACAAAGTAGCAAAGTACCCAAAATTCTCTTTTCCCTCCCCCCTAGTTTATACACAAGATATAAAATCTGATGTTAATTGCTATATAAATAAATCAATCTCAAAACAGTTGTACCCACTCTGAAGATGATTTGTAAAAACCGGAACCTGGTAATGTGAGACATTTCAGCACACTGCTATTTACAGAAAGAAAAAAATAAAGACTTCTTTTCCTCACCCAGTTTCATCAAGCCTTATGTATTAAATTGCCAATTCTTTTTAATGTGATGACACAGCAAGCATCAGATTACAAGAACTGCTGGATTATGGAGTCTCTAATGACTGAGAGAAAAGGAAGAATAAATTGCCAATTTTGTGACCATTTACAGATTAAAAAATTATTCAAAATCTTATGGGTTCTTTTCATATGCTGTATACAAGACAGCATTATGAATAAACAAACACTTACCTGACCCTCTAATTCAGTGTACACCAGTTTCTCCAGCATGGTTCAGTGGTCAAGGCACCACCAACACATGTAAGGATATTGTGATGGAGCTGAAGCCAGTGTGACCCTAAAGGGTTTACATGTAACAGGACCTAAGGAAGAAATAGGTGGACTTTTATATAGCCATGGTATGTATGGTACATACATGGTGTATAGCAATGTACAGCCTAGTAACTCAGAACACACAGCAGCTGCTAAAGAAGATGCCATTTTTTGTAATTTTTTTTAGTATGTTAAGATAGACTCATAACATATCTCCCACAACACAAAATACAATCTATATTAAAAAAACTCAAATAAAATTTCAATCCACTGAGATTTCTAAACCAAGAAATAAAAATTAGGAATTGCCAAAATTAAAGTTGCCTTGGTAACCTTAATTTCATTGTTTTTTGTGTATCTTCTCTGTTGTCTAGAGAATAAAAATGAAGCAGTACCCATTCTACACACTGAATTTCAAAAGGATCACTGGAAGCAGAAATTTATATACAGTCAAGTCAGGCAATTGAAGATTTTTCAAGTGTACCCACCCACACAGATGAGTACTTGGCTTTTTAACCTGTGTCAAGAGTTTTCTTAACTTCTTTTTGTGGTTTTGTTTTCTTTTAAATGTTTAATGGGTTTTAGGTTTTATTTTTTAAATCAAAATACCTAAGAAGTTAAAATATAAATTTCAGATTTCACAAAAGGGGATCATATGTATAGGCCAGAAACCCCTGTTGCTTGAACTGATTGTCATTTGAATAATGGCAGCAATAGTACACAGAATTGATTGTGTAGCCTATTATTTTAGTGCTGGTTCACATGTCTGAGACTAAATCCTTTCTGTCCACTTCAGACCAAACTGCTGCCCAAGTTATTCTCATTTTCTGAGACTTCCCATTATTTTACTCATTGCCCACTTTGCCCTGTCCCAGTAGCGATTTTCCTAACATGCCAAATTCTGCTTAAGTTCATCTCCTCATTTCAGCCTTTTCCTCTAGTAACTTCTCACAGGTTTTCTAGCTCCACCAGTCTTCAGTATTCAATTTTTTTTATATGCTGTCTACAAAAGAATTAAAAATCTTTGCAAGCCAACTATCAAAGAAAACTGGCAAGTTTTCTCAGATCCTGTCCCCGCCTTCCTAAAACAGTCTGTCACACCCAGCTTCCTGAAGTAAGGTATCATTTTTGTTCACTGCATTTTTCAGAGATTGTGAAGATGCCAAATCTCAACAGATTTTTGCATCAGGAATGTGGCCTTTTGTCTATTCTAACAGATGACACCATCTGAAAAATGCTTATATATTTCCTGCAAGCCATGGACTATTAGGGCTTTTTAAATAAAAGGTAACCACAGTCCTATGGTTTCCACTTGAAAACATTATGAACAGAAGGTTTTCTCCATATGTATTCTAGAAAATCGGCTGAAACATTTTGGTTGATTTGTTCTTAAAGGAAAAGTTTTAGTTGTAGGCAAAGAACATGGTAAGAAATTTCAGTCAAAACAGTTTAAACAAACAAACAAAAAAAAAAGACAGAAGAACCAGTGAAAATAGTATCTTTTAAACAAATAACAACACTGGTAACACGGCAGATCATCTAGAGTTAAAAAAAAAGCAGTGTGGTTTCATAACTCTAAACACAAAGTGTGCAGTTATAATACAGAAGTGAGAGATGTAGGTACATCATAAATTCATTACTGATTTCAGTGAAAGGAGCCACTTTTAACATAATATTGGGGAGGGTATGTATAAATCAGCATGAAGAACTGCTGCTAGAGATGTACAGCCTTTACCACTATTAAAGAAACTTAGAAAATCAAACATTGATGGTGTAAGAATGCACAGTTCCCCCCCGCTCCATTTTTGTTCACCCTCCAAGAGACAAAGCTAGATAGAGTTCTTTGAAAGTTGCTTTAGGACTTAAGAAGTATTGAAGCTAGGCATAAGAATTGCTCATTTGATGAAGCTGAAGTTAATATATATCGATTGATAGGCTGCTATACATTTTCCAGTAAGATTCACCTTGCTTCACTTAATGAGATTAACCGAAGACAGCAGTCCAAAATCAGAGACACAGGGACAAGTCTCTTCACATAGCTCTGTTCTACCACAAGTCTAGGTCTTTGTAGGTCAAGATGTGAGGAATTGAAACTGATAACAGCATGAACTGCAACATGCACTTTTGACATTGTTAAATGTCCAAAAAGGAATCAGAAAGAGAGTGAACTCTTGGGTCGAAACAGATCTAAATTGAATATTGAACCTGGTCATCATTAAGAGTATTACAATTCTGGTGTTATTCCAGTTACATTGACACAAAGCTAAATCCAGAAAAGCTTCAGACATGAAGCATTCTTCAGCTTCGACATGTTAAGCAGTACAGTATCCCCACCCCCAGTCTGATAATACAACAAACAATAAAAGTGTGATGTAATACAGTCTTCCTTGTATGAAGAAAGGATACCTGCCTCTTGTAGATGGAAATAAAGCTGTCACTGAGTAAGATGAAGCAAGACCAGTAAGGAAGATAAACTTATCACTACTAACTTAACAAGGAAGAATTTCCTTTTAAACTAACAGACAACTAGCTATGCAACCAAGCAATTATCAATTGCCAAAATAAGCCCATCAGAAACTCAAATCAACATAAAAACTATCAAAAATCCAAGCATCTCATCATGTCCTGCATCCAGATTCCCTGTATTGAGTGTTGTTGCCTTCTTTTTTCCTCTACCTACTTAGCTGCTCAGTTGCTAGCTCAGTGCAGCTGCCACAGCCCACAGCCCACTTTGTTTAGTGCCTTCAAGCAAACTGTAAGAACTGTAAGAAGTTCCTAGTCCTTCCCCCTGCCGTTCAAAACACAGTTTCTAATCTACCTTAATGAGTTTTAAAGCCTTCTTCCACCAATTAAAACAAATTTACTTGTACGTACACTTGCATTAAGCAAATATTTAGCAGTGGGGAAAAAAGGGAAAATAACTGGAAAAATCATCTCTGGCATCTTGCATTCAGTACATCGATACACTTTGAAAATGCAACTGTGGTTCCACAGATGTTTGCAGACCTTAATCCGCTCCTTGGCTGTATTAAGGGCCACAGTTTGTTACAACAGGTTAAAATCAGAGTAAATACATTAATTTAAAATAGAAGAAAAACATTTATCCATGTTAAACAATTATTAACATAAATATTCAAACTGAACTCCTAAGTAGTTTAAAAGTATTTTGTGCTTATTAAGTAACATGACGCCAACTTTGGCTGAGATGCACAGTATTTCAGAATAAAGAGCAATCATTGATTATGAAGACATAATTTGACCATGGGGCCTTTGGCAGCAAATCCAAGGTTAGCTCAGCTCTACGAATGCTTAATGCACTCCCAATGTCAAAACAGAAAAAAAAAACAAATCAAAACACAATAACAAGGAGCTCTCAAAGATTTCAAACCACAATTGAAAATGATTTAGCAAAATAAATCCTTACAGTGGAGTTATTTTGATGTAAAATATAAAGCATATGAAAAATATTGAAGGAACAGATACTTAGAAAACATCAAAATACCCAAGCTTCAAAGGATTACTTTTAGTGTACACAATGTACTTACATGTCCATTTTCTTCTAAGTACATTTGCTAACAGTCTAAATTTGGTCTGGAGAAACTACTGGTTGGAGGTTGCCAGTTTTGCAGAAAGGATTTCAGTTTAGTGGGAAATGGAAGCAAGATCACTAATTGTTTCCTGTAAAGGTTTTAATATAAAAATCACTCAACTTTTGTAGCAACTTCTGAACACTTTTATAAGATTTGAGATTCAAAGGCCCAAAGTTATGACAGGCAGCGTGAATAATCTTTCTGGTCTTTTGCCTCTATCCCTGATGCAGATAGAAGACTGTCACCATACAGCCTACACAACTATCAACAACTGTTTTAATTTAGAAAAGTAAAAAACAAATAACATCACATAATCTCATACAAGAATCTCCCAGAATGACAAATTGATAACTTTGTCCCAGGTAAGAAATTAGGAAGAATACTTCAGTGTTTTAGCAATTTGTACATTTTTTCCCAGTAACCACTTAGGCTTTCACATAGGTCAAAAGCTACAACAAGTATATTGTACCAAATAACTAGCAATTAACAGCTGAAAGGTGCTACTAAGTTAAACACAAGCTTATGCAAGTGCGAAGCTACTTTTAAAACTTGTTTCCAAAACTACCCCCATAGCAAGCAGGAAGGCTCTTACACCCATTTTATTAGCTCTGCAAGCACAACAAATCAGCAAAGGACAGTTTCTTATCATGTTACACATTCTTCCTTTAATGGAAGCTTCCTTTAATGGAATGAAATACCTGAAAAAAGTTAGAAAGTTTCTTAGTTTCTTTAATGTTTCTTCTCCACTTCAAAAATTTATAGAAATTAGCATGCATTAAAGAAATATTTAGAAAGGCTTCCTTTGCTCACATTTATCATAAAAATGTAAACAATAATCAGAACAAATATAAAATATTTACAATTCTATACTGCTACTGACTATTTTAAAATTATTATTTAACCTATTAAATTTTTCACCAAAAAGCTAAAATTAAGTAAACTTTCTGCATGTTAACATAACAGTGAATGGTAAGTTATAATTTTCAAAATTCATTGCCCCCAGACATAATGGAAATTGTCAAAAGAGTATCTCGAAAAATCTAGTCCCAGGTTTTCTCACTTCAGCTGTAAGGGAGATGGATTTTTGATCCCCACGTCTCCCATCGAAAAGGAATGAAATTACTCATTCAACAGGCAATTTATAATTTGTTAATAAAAACCAGATATCCTTTCACTTACAAAAACATAGTTTGTACAAACACTCATGAATCTTTTCGCTGTTGTAGTCAACTTTATTTTGAAATACTGTGAATTGCAGCTGTCTTTCCATGTGGTTTCCTTCCCAATCCCTTAGAGAAGAAATTATACTGGCCTGCAGCCTTGTTGTTGGCTTGCAGTGACACACAGTCAAGTGGAGATGCTGTAAGTCTTTGTGAAGCAAATAAAATACTTGTTTTGCTTTTAGTTCTAACAATTACTGTTTTTTCAATCAATTTTTCACCAGAAAGCCTGCTACAACCTTCCATAAGAATTCTATCTCTGGCCCTTTCAAACAGTAAAAAGCCTCATAACAACCCAATGTATGCCAAAGACAATGAAGACACCAAAATTAGCCTGCGTAACATATAACCAATCTAAACCCTTCAAAACCTTTACTGTGACACAGATGCAATGCTTGGCCTGGCTACAATTACTGAAAGCCCTGTCATTGCACATTCCCCAATGTTCCTAACACTCTCAGTTTTCTTACCTGACCACTGCCACAAACTCCAGAGCACACCCATGAGCCATCACCTTATTTCACAATTCCCTGTTTTTTCACTAAGCCCTACTGAGCAATCAGAACCAAATCAGTAGTTCAAAGTATAAAGCAGGAATTTTGTTCATATTAACAGAAGCAGGCATGGAAACCTTGCTAAAATCAATTAATCACTGCAATCACCCACAACACTGAAAGGTTAACCAGAACAGTGCCCAGACTACCTTTGTACACAATTTTTCAAGATTTTACCTACTGACTAAATGCATAGCTTTATTGAGGGCAGAACACTTGGAATTAGTAACAGAAACATTATTTAACTAATGAGAGAAAAAATATAAAAAAGTATAATAAGTAAATAAGCAACATCAATAGTTAATGCAAAGGTAAATGGTACAAGAATACTGGAATAATGTCATTTTGTGATTTAGGAGACACAGGTTATGTTACTCAGTCAAGGTCTTCCATTTATAAATGGAGACAATATTTAGCTATTAGCAGTGTCACAAAGCTTGAAACAGCTAAAAAAAGCATTAAGCTTGATAGAAGTACCTTTACAGTAATGTTAGAGCCATTAAAAAGCTAATAATATTGAAATAATTGGAATATGATGGTCAACTACTCCTAGAAACATTCAGAATCCAAAATATAAAATGAGATAGGATTTTTCAGAATGAAGGAATATCATCTAAATGTGAACATTTACAACATATTTTTAGAATTTTTGCAATTCTTACATTTTCTTCGCTTAAACTAGCATGAAGATATTTTACAGTAGCTTCTGATGGTAACACTTACAGCTCACACTGAAACTCTGTAATAAATTTTGTATTGACCAAATAAAGTTATTTGCACAGATAAGTTTATAGTTGAGGAGGCAACTCTACGAGAATGAAAAACAAAATCTGACTTACTGGTAAAATCACCGTGCGGACATCTAACCATATCCCGATAATGGTAAGCAAGCTACATGAAGATTTCTCATCTGCTCAGTTTCAGAAGACGACAGATAGACCACGCACTGGGACGAGGTTTCCTCTAATGGTTGTTTTTATTCACTCTCCAGGCATCTTGTGACATAAAAGCACTTTCGCAGATGAGGCACTGGTAGGTTTCTTTTATCCGCTTGTGTGATTTTTCAATGATTTTCCATTAAGATCCACTTGGTCATGAGACAATAAATACATTTAAAACCACGATCCACATCATGACCCTTTCAATGGATTCGCTCAGCATCTTTTGGCTCTAGTGCTCTATTGCACATGTTGCAAAAGTGCTGCCTTCTCTCAGAACCCAGCTTTAAGGCACAAGCATCTTCCACAGAACGAGCTGACCCTTCACATCAAGCTTGCAGCTATTTTTGTTGTAATGTTTACACCTCGATTCAGCTTTAGCAGTTTTTACCTCTCCAGCAAAGGTCTGAGTTCTAACACTGTAAAATGATAGAGATGCTAAGACTCACAGACTGGGCTTCTCCATCCTTTCTCTTGGAACATAGAAGAGAAGTCAGCACCGCAGGGTTCCTCAAGCTGCAAATGAGCTGCTGCTTCTCCAAACAACGTGTTCACAGGAGTGAGAGGCATGAGGATTATGCTCAGGCTCATCTTACAATAGCGAGGACTCATATTTTGAGGCATTTGATACACAGGCAACAGAACAGCTATTTTTTGCAAGAGTTTATTTGCTTTCATTATTTTCATCTCCCATGCTATATGACTCATTTTCACTTTCGTCCATTTTAGGATACCCTGAAATTTGACCTGCCATATCTGTCTCACACATTTGAGCCAGGTGCATCCTGATCTTACTTTTGATCCTCCTTATTAAATGGCAGAGCTTGCACCTGTATATCTCCACCTGAAATATTTCCACCAGACCAGGCAATCTGGGCTTCAAAAAAGCACAGCGGCATGTTGTGATGTCCTTGAGGTGATGTGCAGGTGCATTGACAGAAACCATTGGTATTCGTAGTTAAATTCATTAATTTTCTGTAGTTGCTAGTAGACGAATCTACAAAAGACAATAAGCAAAAGAGTTAAAATTCACTTATCCAAACTCTAAGGAGTCTCTAAGGCACTCTAAGTGTCCTACCAAAAAGCTAACGTGCAGTGAAATCCAAATTCAGATTCCAGTCCTCGGGATGTCCACAGATTTTAAGACTATCTGAAAGAAGTGAGAATTCTTCATGAGAACAACGATGCCATAAATGACTACTCAAGTCACCTGTTGAAATTAAGAATTAATACAGATTAATAATTTTATGGCATTTCTGTGTTAAGTTTAACAGCAGCTCCTGTTAAGAGACCACGGCAATAGTAATTTTAAATCTAATACTGATCTTAAAAGCCAAGCACGCTGGTGAGAAATCTGCACCCCTCCAACCCAACAGCCATCATCACATGCACATCCCAAACACAGCCCAACATCCCGCCGCCAAAGCCCACCAGCCTTTTCCCAGAAGCCTGGAAAGGCAAATTAAGCGGAACAACGCCTTACAACAAGACCATGAAATCACAGAATGGTTTGAGTTGGAGAGGACCTTGACGATCCAGTTCCAACCTCTGTGCCATGGGCAGGGACACTAGAACAGGTTGCTCCAAGCTCCAGCCAAGCCAGACTTCAACACTCACGGGGATGGGGCATCCACAGCTTCTCTGAACAACCTATTCCAGCGCCCCCCCGCTCCCCACCCCCGGATATCCCAGCCAACGCCACTCACTCCCAGCCGCCTCCATTCCCGCCGCCTCCCCCCTGACGCCCCTGGGGGAGGAGGCGGAGCCTCCGCCGCGCTCGCGGCCCCGCGCGCGGGATTCACTTCCGGCCCCGCGCCCTCCCCCCCCTCCCAGCGGCGGCGGCGGCGGCAGCGAAGGAGTTCGGAAGTTCAAAATGGCCGCCGCGGCCGAGCCCGAGCAGCGACCGCCCGAGTAAGGGACTAGCTGGGGCTGGGGGGGAGTCTTTTCACCGCGGCGTCTCGGGGAGGAGGAGGGAGGCGGAGGGAGAAGCGCGGGCGAGGGGACTGAAGCGGGGGGATACATACACGGGACGGGGAGGACGAGAAGCGGCCCGGGTGGAAGTGGCGAGGGAGGAGGAGGGGATGAGGAGAGTAGGATGGGGGAAGGCGGCCGCCCCGGGGCAGAGTGGTTGCTGTAGGAGCGGCTGGGCTCGCGGCGAGGCGACCCGGCGGGGCCGGGGACACTGCGTTCGCCCGTGGATCCGGGAGGGCCGCGCGGGAGGGGGAAGGGAAGGGAAGCGGCGCCGGGAGCGGCGGGCGCGTGTCCCTGGGAGTCCCGCGTGCGCCTTCCCGCCCCAGGGGCGCTGCGGCCACGGGGAGCGGCGATCGCCGCTGGGGAACCGGGTTTGCCGGACAGGGGATCGAGGGTGTGTTGGGGGGGCGCCTCCTCCGCGTGGCTGCGAGGCCGCCGCCGCCCGGCGCGCAGGACTTGGGCATCCTGAGGTGGGTCCGGGCCGGCGCTGCCCGGGATTCCCCCCCCCGCCACTCACACACCACCCCGCCCCCCCACACGCCCTGTCCGAGCGGGGCCGGGGGCGCTCCGGGCCAGCGGGTGCCTCGGTGGCGCCCCGGGGCCGCGGAGCCGCTGCCCGCCCTGCGGCGAGCCCACCTCCCGCCCGCCTTCCTTCCCCCGGGCCCCGCCGCTCTCGCGGTAGGGAAAGTGCCTGTGCTGCGGGAAGCAGAAAGCGATTTGTTGCCGCCAGCCCCTCCTTCCAGCCCTCGAAATGACTGGCAACTCCCGGCTCCCGTTGGGAAGCGGAGATCGAGCTGCCGCCTCCCCGCCAGACCGGGGCTCCCGGGCGTGCGTTTTCCTGGCACCCTGGTTAGTGCCGTGTGGTTTGGGTTTGTCCCCACTCAGGAGCTCGTGAACACAGTCTTCTGGAAATTTTGCCCAGAGTTAACATCCTAATGATTACTCTATCGCTCTTCTTCGCTGTATAAATATTTTAGCTGTATAAACTGCTTTCTGTATTTTTTCTGCCTTAAAAAGTTTTGATTTGAGGCTTGATTTTATCGTTGATCGTGGGAGTGGAAAACGAGTGAGGAAATAGGGTGGGTGTACGTGTGAACTATGTAAAACACATGAGTGTTTACTATTGCATAGAGAAAGTTAACTAAGTGATGAGATAGAAGCTGATGATAGGAACCTTGTATGTAGGAAAAGATGGGTGAAATCTCTTGGAAAAGATGGGTGAAATCTCTTTGCAAATCCTTATGAACTTCCTATCATTCTTCTTTTTGAATTCTGAAGTAGGAAAAAGTAGGGCTATAACAAGATCAGGTCACAATTTGTCTCTATTTAAAGCCATTAGTGCCTAAACATGCACATACTAAACTACCTCAACTCCTTCTAAAATCTTCTTAAAAGGTTTCTCATCCACGTCAATACACCTCTGAAGCGTTTAAATGAAGTAAAAGCTTATCCACATTTGGATGGAATTACTTGAAATGAACATATTCCTGTACCTGAAGAAAATCTGAACTATTTCGTGCATATTAATGAACTTAATAGTAATTTTATTGTTGAGTTACAGAGGCAGCTGGCAGTTGTATTGGCAGTCTGTAATGGCCTGAGATATTGCTAGGGTGTTATATCTCATCTGGTGCCTTCTCTGCCAGCTTACTTTTCCAGAATTTAAGATGAGGTTATTACATAACTTTAAAATACATGCGATATAATAAAATAACTTCCTTAAAGGTTTCAGTGTCACTTTCTGCTATTAAGAGAAGGAAGACTCTGCTACAGTATCCTGTATCCAACTTAAAGAAATCTTGAAAGATGCATAGTGCCCTTAAAATTCTCCTTCTGACATTTCTTTGCCCTTTAACCAACTTATATCACAGACATACTTGCTCGGGACTGCAAATACAAGTGGAAGTTCTGCATTTAATACTTTTTCTTCCCTTTTTTTTTTTTCTTTTCTACCCAATGCAACTTAGAGTAAGTTCTTTTTAAGGCAGATTTTCCTCTTTTGTTCTGATATTCTCTTGTCATAATGGTGTGCAGTATCAGGAGGATACAATTAAGAAAAAAACCTTTCTATGTGCCTTGAATAAGCAGAAGTAGTGGTGAAGATCTAAAAGAAAAGGCGTGTAGCATTCTGTCTGAAGTCTCTGAATATTGCATGTTTTTAACTCAAACAGTCCCTTAGGAAGTTTCTCATTTCTGAGCACTAAAATGTTAATGGTTTTAGCAAATAATTTTAGTGTATGTTGCAGAAAAGTCTGTATTATTACTAGTTCTAGAATTTGCATTAACTCAAGCTGGAGAGAGTCAGTAACTGTGCGTGTTTGAAGACCCTGTCCTGAATTAGGATGACACTAACCAAATTTATAGTGAGGTGCCGTCCTTTAGACCTGGCTTATAGTATCTCTGGTACATTTGTTCTACCAGATCATTGATCATAACCTTCAGAAACAACTGTCATATGAAACTAGTCGAGTTCAGAAGACAATTTTGACATTTCTGTGTACATTCACCTCCTGCTTCTGACTGTCATGTGTAGGGGATTTGTTTTCAACTAATGAGGCCTGGGATACAGAAAGAGCAACATTTAAGTTCTTAAAGTATTAGCTAGTTTGCTTAGTGAGCTAGTATTAGCTTAGTTTGTAGAAAGGTGAGCTCTGGCACCTGTAATATTTGGAAACAGATTTCAAAAGGCAAATGTCTGTCTTAACACAGACAGTAACTTGATTGATGTTCTGAAGGAGATCAGGAGGTATTTGCTAAACAGTGTAAAAAACCTGTAGTTAAGCCAGTTTCACTATCTATGGAAGATAATATAAGGGAATGTGTAACATCAAGTCTAAATTTTGTCATTTTCAAAGTTTCTACTTGAAGAAATTATACTTAATTGAAACTATTCTTTTTAGAAGAAACACTGCTGCTGCAGACTTATTTTCAGCTGTTTCACTCAATGCCATTTTACAGGTAGAAAGATTACCACACTTTTTTCGAAGCTGCTATCTGCTGTATAGTGTCAGAAAGCTGCTCTGAAAGTAGACTTCCTTAATTTATACTGTTCCTCAATAGTGTTCCCTGCCTTGCATAAATAATACAAATGTGTAAGAAGAGTTCTTGATTTTCTAACAGGTGTGTACACTTACAGAAGGAAGTTTCAGTTAAGGGAGTCAGTCAGCTCTGAGTGAGATTTTACAAGAAGGTTTTGTTAGCTGGTCAGCATCATCCCTTGAAATAAATTTTGATCTTTGGAGCACAACTGTTTTCTACCATTGGAAAATACTTTTAAAATCCATAGCTTGGATTAGGCATTGGAGTGGAACAGCAAGTGAAAAAGATAATGATGGACTGACAAGATATGTAAATATGCAGCACTGTTGTATGTTATTAACAGATATTGTCAGCATTGAATCTAAAGGTGTGAGCATTGATTCCACCCACATATCTTGTTTTGTCAGTGCATTTGCTGTATCTTCCTTCTGTAGTATTTTGCTGTGCAGCAGTAACTGTCTGTTTGTGAGGAACTGTATCTGCTGTTACAACTTAGTTAAATGAGTCGTACATTTTTAATTCTCCCAAAGGTAAGTGATTAAATGCCAGTTAGTTTTTGTGATAAAAAAGGTTGTTGACTTAACATGAGATGAAAGACTGCAGCAAGTTGATAGTACTGATCTCTTTATTTTTTTGCAGGGTTGAGGATGCTGAGGCATCCGAGAAAAGTGTAAATGAAGAAAATGGGGAAGTATCAGAGGCAGACCAACCTCAGAACAAGCACACCCGACACAAAAAAAAGAAACACAAACACCGAAGTAAACACAAGAAACATAAACATTCTTCAGAAGAAGACAAGGACAAAAAACATAAACACAGACACAAACATAAGAAACATAAATGGAAAGAGGTGGCTGATGCCTCTGACAAAGAAGGTGGACCAGCTAAAAGAACTAAAATTGATTTTTTAGCTCCTCTGGAAGACTTGGAGAAACAAAGAGCATTATTGAAAGCTGAACTTGAAAATGAATTAATGGAAGGAAAAGTCCAATCTGGGATGGGATTAATATTACAAGGTTATGAGTCAGGATCTGAAGAAGAGGGGGAGATTAATGAAAAAGCACGAAATGGAACGAGACCTACAGCAAAGTCAAACACTAAGGGGAAATTAGAACCTGTGGACAATAAAACTGGTTCCAAGAAAGCAAGTAAGAGTGAATCAAAAGAAAGGACTAGGCATAGGTCTGACAAAAAGAAAGGCAAGACAGGAGTTGATGGAGTCAAAGAGAAGACAACTAGAAGCAAGTCAAAAGAAAGGAGGAAATCCAAAAGCCCTTATAAGAGAAGTAAGTCTCAAGATCAGACAAGGAAATCTAGGTCCCCAATGCTTAAGAGGAGATCTCAGGAGAAAAACAGAAAGTCTAAATCTCCTCCAGAGGATAGAAATAAGGCTGATGATAAAAGTAAATCAAGAGATCGCAGAAAGTCTCCAGTTGTTAATGAAAACAAAAGCAGAGATCGTGG